GAGGAAGGGAGGGAGGGAGGGAGGGAGGGAGGGAGGGAGGGAGGAAGCTGCCAGGTGTCTAGTGCACCCCAGGCTCCTGAGGCTCTGATGGCTATAGATGAGGTGTTTCACACCTCAATCCAAAGACATGGAAGTCAACACCAAAAAGCCAACACCAGTGAAAATGGCCGGAGGCTGTTAAAAGGGCTGTGGCTCCCGTTGGCCAGTCCACACACCACACAGAGAGAAAGATGCACAACAGCATCAGTCCTTAGGAAAATGCAAACTAAAACCACAAGTAGACACCATCCAGGTCACTGTCAGAGGATGGACATGAAGGGCTGGTGAGGAGCGGAGGGTTGCACATGCTGCTGTGGGGTCTCAAATGCTGCAACATCTCCTCTGAAGGCTACTTAAGATCTGGCAAGCCAGGCCCAAGGACTCGACTCCTGCCTGGAACCTAGCTACCCAGGAGGCTGAGATATGAGGCTTGCAGTTTGAAGCCCGTCCAGGTAGAAGAGTCTGTGAGATTCTTATCTTCAATTAAACAGCAAAAGGCTGGAATTAGAGCTGTGGTTCAAGTGATAGGGCACCAGTCTTGAACAAAAAAGCTCACTGGACGTCACACAGGCCCTGAGTTCAAGTCCTAGGACCAGGACACACGTGTGCGCACACACACAAGACCTAGTCATTCTAGGTCTTTTCTAAGCCAATGTCAAAAAGAAGTCAAACTGTGTGTCCACATAAAAACTTATACACAATACACAAGATAGACACTAGTGACTCACATCTATAATCCCAGCTACTCGGGTGGCTGAGATAGGAAGATCAAGGTTCAGAGCCAGTCGAGGCAAGAAAGTCTGTGAAACTCTTATCTCTAATTAACCACCAAAAGTAGCTGTGGCTCAAGTGGTAGAGCACTAGCCTTGAGCAAAGTGGCTCAGGGACAGTGTCCAGGCTCTGAGTTCAAGCCCCAGGACTGCCACAAAACAAAACAAAAACAACAAAACATGTACACTAAGAAAACATGGAGGCCATTGGTCAGATGTGGTGGCTCATGTCTGTAATTCCAGCTACTTGGGAGGGTCTTGAGGTCAGTCTGGACAGAGGGAGTGATCTCATTCAAAAACAGCACAGGCAGGAGAGTCCATGACATTCTTTTTTTTTTTTTTTGGGTCCGGTCGTGGGGCCTGAACCCTGGGCCTGGGCGCTGTCCCTCAGCTCTTCAGCTCAAGGCTAGTGCTCTACCACTTGAACTGAAACACCACTTCTGGCTATTTGGTGCTGAGGAATTGGACCCAGGGCCTCAGGCATGCAAGGCAAGCGCTCTACCACTGAGCCACCTTCCCAGCCCAGTCCATGGACATTCTTACCACTTAAGCACCAAACAAACCAGAAAGAGAGCTGAGGTTCAAGTGGTAGAACACTAGCCTTGTGGGGCTGGGAAGGTGGCTCAGTGGTAGAGCGCTTGCCTTGCATGCCTGAGGCCCTGGGTTCGATTCCTCAGCACCACATAAGCAAAAAGAAAAAA